CGCTCTCGCTCTCGTTGTCTCCCTCGTTCTTCCTTCTTCTCCCGCTGCTCTCCTGTTCCATTTCTCGCGCGAGTTTCTCGACTTTTCGGAGGTGGCGCCTCCACTCTCGTGCTCCGCGACGTGCAGCGTCTGGACGTTCGTTCTTTCTTTCCTTCCTTTCGCGAGCCCCTTATCTCCCGCTTTCTCGCACGCAGCAGCCGGCGGCGCGTAGCCGGTGTTGCCCCGCTCCTTTTCGGCCAGCTCTCCGCGACGCGCGGAAGCCACACGAACGGAGGAAACGCGAGAGTGCGTGACCCAGCTTGACCCAGCCTGTCGCCGCGTGTGCCGGTACGAATTACGCGTGTGCACGCACGCACGCACGCACGCACGCACGCGCGAACGCCTCAGTCGCGAGAGGAGAGACATTTCACGCGCGAGAGTTGCCCCCGGTCGCTCCGCAGTGCTTTGAGGTTATCGAGCAACAGAGCTCTCGCCGTTCACGCCGAGAGATATTCTCCGGGGAAGGAAACATGTGGGCCGGCCAGGACGACACGCAAAGATTCAAGACCAGGTATGCTCCTTCCTATTACTCGCATGCGGACACGCGCGCGCGCGCGCGTGCGTACGTGTGCGTTCGCAACGGGTTAACTTTTCCGCCCGCTCGCCCGACGTCGATTTTCTCGCTTTTGACGATCGCTCGACGTAATCTAGCTCTGTGCCTTTCTCCCTATGCGCAACACGACCGGTTCGACGACCTGGTCGATATCGAGACGGACAACGAGCGCGATTCGTGTCCATGCGGGAGGTGCTACATTTGAATCGCTCGCTTTGAAAATGGCGTCGTTCTATGAGAGCCGGGCTCTATGAGATTGTTGGACGCAATTGCGAGTGAAGAGTATTCGGTTATCGTACGCGGTCAGAGCTCTCGTGAGAGCAGAGAAACTTGTCGTGTGCGAATGAAAGACAGGTTTTTTTTATCGATTTACCTATCGCGTATTCGGTGTTGGTGCGTATGCGTGTGAGGGGCGGGGAGGGGAGGGAAGCGTGTCCCTTCAACCTTGAGCGACTCGTGTGTACCTGATACAGAGCGAGTGCGTGATGTACAACGTGCACACGCGAGTTCCGTTTCGAATGCGCTCGCACAGTCGGCGGGCACGCACACACACATGCACACGCGCGCTCCCTTCTCTCCCCCATTTTCATTCCCCGTCTCCTTCTCTTTTGCACCGACTGCATTACCGATCGGACACCGTCATGATGACCGGATTGTTGTTCTCTCTTTCTCTTTCTCTCGATGACGCGATGCAAAATTGGAGCACAATGTACGCTGCACGGGAGAAATCACTTGCGTTATAGGCGTGACTCGAGTGATCCAGTTGTGCACGCGTGTGCTTTTCGCGATTACACCGGCGATTATGAGTCATACGTCGAAGTTTAAGTGCCGACGCGTAGAACGATTTCTGCGAATGTCGGGTGTCGCGACGTTCCGCGATTTTATTATCTCTTCAACCCCCGCCTCCTTTGCAACACTTTGATATCGAGATTGCCGTTAATGCTTACTATCGGAGATCAGCAAATTGGACGATGTCACACTCGATCTAAGGACCGTTGTTTAAATTACTCCTGATTCTCGGCTCATTGTTCGAGATATCCTTCGTTTCGAGATCGTTAATCAAGCGCATGGCGGAGAAGGCGGTCTATAGCACTCGCGACGTCGATCGTCGACGCGCGCGCGCGCGTGTGCGCGCACTTAATAGCGGAAGCACGCTTGATAGAGAACTGCGGGATTTCCTCGTGAGACAAATATCGATGTAAATCCTGTCCGATTAAGGGCGTCAAGGCGAGCGGGAATCGAGTCTCAATCCAGTTTCTATTTCTGCGAGACGCTCGCGGAAAGAGAGAAAGAAGAGACAGAGGGGCAGGGAGAGGAGGGAGAGACAGAGAGCGAGAGAGAGAGAGAGAGAGAGAGAGAGAGAGAGAGAGAGAGAGAGAGAGAGAGAGAGAGAGAGAGAGAGAGAGAGAGAGAGAGAGAGAGAGAGAGAGAGAGAGAGAGAGAAAGAAGCGGTCGACCAGTCGCGCAGGCACGTAGCCGTACAAAGGTTAATGTCGGTGCAACGAGAGCAACACGAGAGACATTCGCCAGACGTGTTTCCACCGTCTACGCGAGTCACGCCACGCGCGAATATCCCGCACCTCAATTCCGAATACCGCGCGAGGCTCTCAGGTGCGGGAATTATAGCGTCTTCTGCACCTGCTCGCGCGAATCGCAGTCGTAGCCCGGTATCCATCGGCGTATATTCTCGCGATTCGCTGTTAATCGGAGATCGAGATAAGCAGGATGCTGAGAAATACAGCGGTTATCGCTTTCACGAATTATCGGCTCGAGTCGATCCCAACGCGCGAGAGCGCAGCGAACATTTATTTCATTTTCCTGGACATACTCAGCTACTCCTCGATCCGGGAAGGCAATTAATTAATGTATAATAACAAATGTCATATCGCGGATGATATCAGCGGATCTAGTAAAGAGGGATGACCGACAAGTATGAGAAGTTACGTCGTTCTTTCGGAATAGAAAATTTGTAATATATTTTTAATATACATTGATGACCAAATGCATTTGCAGCAAGATAATCGGGGTAAAAAGTGGATCGTTGTGAGATTGTCTTTTGAGATACATAAAATATTTTATCTAAATTTTGAAACCGATTTAAGATTAGATTTTTCTCCGGTGCATGTATATATGTGTAAGAATTATTTTATTAATGCAACACGAACGATATCTCGATAACTCTGATAATTCTGTTATGCCTCGTATATTTGTTCTCCTGCTGTGGATATAGATTACGCGTTGAAGGTTTATTCAACATGCCAGACGCGTATGACAGTCGGATTATTTCTCCGATAAGACCGCGATAATATATATCTGAGATAACGATTTAAATTATATTTTCTCGCGCGGGAAGATAAACGTAATATCGCAAAGACGATAACACGCGGCGAAGATAACGATGGCGCTATCAATGCTCGGGAATATTGTGTGCTTTTGTTAAGTTCCTCCGCTTTCTATCATCGCCAAAAACATCCGTAAGTATTGCAAAATTTCGCGTGTCAATTTTACGCGCTCGTTGTTTCTCGTTGAATTGTGAAGCCGAAAATGCCGACCGACGCCGTCGAGATCGATCGAAGTCTTACTCTACTTACGCAAGACTCACCGATGTGAATCTGGCAAACAACTTAATGAAAAAACAAAATTCTCAATACGGTTCGATTGTACCTCAGTACTTTGTTTGTATCTGTTTGTACCACTTTTTGTTTCGTTTGTACCTCAAAGAATAAAAAGATAGCCCTGGTAGAAACTTATGCAGTTTTTCTAGACACCCAACCAGTTACTGTCTAGTATTACTGTATTCTCATAAATAGTATCAAAACTGTATAAGAACTGGACAAGTATTTGATAGAGTTTTGCTCAGTAACTGAAGCAGTTTTTCTAGTCAAAATATATACAGTTTGTGTAGATAACTGCCCATTTATTATCTAGTATTATTGAATTCTCATAGGTGTATCAAAACTGCGTAGGAAATGAACAAAAACTGAATACAGTTTTACTGTGCAACATCTAGGCTGATTCTTTCCAAGTCATTGTAATGTCAAATTGGTTGTATTCCATGCACGCATATAATAAAGTCTACATTAAATTAATTTATAATATTGATTTTTATATTAAAAGATATTAAAACGTGAAGAATGAGTGAACGTATAGAAAAACATAGAGCAAAAAAAAAGAAGTTGAAGGAAATAAGGAATTTGACCGGACAAAATTTTGTGGCAGAAATGATAAGGTTAAAATGGAAAATGAGCAAAAGACAAATATTGTGTATAATAATAGTAATACAGAATTTTATTACGACGAGAATACGTCAGTTTATTCTGATCATAGTAGTATTAATGAAAATGATAGCTCAGACTCTGGACCTGATGAAATAATACAATTAAAAAAATGGATTATTTCATGTAGAATACCTCATTCACATAGTGATAAATTATTAAAAATATTAAGACGTAGATTATTACCCACACTTCCAATGTGTACAAAAACATTTCTGCAAAGTACTTCTGCAGAATATCTGTTAGAAAATATGAAAGACTCCGATAACTCCATGGGAGAATTTACATATTTGGGCATTGTACAAGGCTTAAGAAATTTTAATTGTAAAGAAATTGTGTAAATATAAATTTGCATACAAATCGTAAATTACAACTACTATTCAATATTGATGGTATGAAACCGTATAAAAGCAGCAACAAAGCACTTCGGCCAATTTTATGTAAAGTTTATTTTGAACCTAACATATATGAGCCTTTTACAGTTGCTTTATATTCCGGAACTCATAAACCAAAAAGTCTTGAACAATATTTGAACGAATTTATTAATGAAATAAATAAACTGCTTTACGAGGGATTGATTATTGAAGAGACACAAATATTAATTAAAATAAAATCCTTTATTTGTGATACTCCAGCACGCTCCTACTTGAAATGTATAAAAGGACATATATCATTTGATGGTTGTGAAAGATGTCGTGTAAAAGGCGAAAAACATGAAAATACCACGGTTTTTTTAAATATTCATTGCAATAAACGCACAGACGAAGAATTTCGTACTTTTAGTGATGTAAATCATCATACTGGAGTATCTCCTCTTATTTATATTGAACCAAACTTAAACATGATCAGTCATTTTGTATTAGACCCAATGCATTTATTTGATGAAGGAGTTATGAAGAGATTATTACATTTTTGGATGTGCCAAAAAAACGTAAAACTAAATATCGTGGCAAAAACTGAACTACATCGACGAATTGAATTGATAAAAAAATTTATTCCATATGAATTTCATAGAAAAATTCGTAGTACAAACTGTTTTGATAAATATAAAGCATCAGAATATAGATTTTTTTTGTTGTATTGTGATCCAGTTGTTCTAAAAAATATTTTAGATAACTTTAAATATAATCATTTTCTATTATTACATGTCACATATCGTTTGTTATATGCAGAAGTAAATAATATATTTATTGAATATGCAAGAGAATATTTGAATACTTTTATTTCTGTTGCTAAAGATCTGTATGGAAAATAATTTGTTACAATAAATGTCCATAATTTGTGTCATTGTTGATGATATCGAAAATATGAATTGCTCCATAAGTTTTATAAATGCATATAATTTTGAATCTCATCTTGGACAAATTAAGAATATATTACGTTCTCCTTATCGAACATTATCACAATTTTGTCGACGAGAATATGAGAAGATATTACATACACAAAAAGTTGTCACTCTGTCTGATGAACAAGAAATCATATCTAAAAGATCTGATCAAGATATTCTTAAAGTAAAACATAAACAATATTTATTGACATCAAAATCCCCGAATAATATGGTACTCTTGAATAAAGGGGCTGTTATGGAAATAAGGCAAATTTTTTTACAAGACAAAGATATTTATTGTAATATGATAAAATATGACAAAATTAATAAATTGTATAATTATCCTTGCAACTCTGATCAATTATTAACATTTAAAATAAAAAAAAAACATGAAAAGAGAAAGTGTTAATATACATTTCAATCAAATCAAATACAAGTTAATAAAGATGAAGTTAAACTTAAAAGTAGATGGCCATGAGAGATTATTTGTTGCCATTATTATAAATGCCATTATTATAAATGACAGTTATTGTCAATACATCAATTGCAACAAACTTCTTGGTACAAAAAAGGATTTATATATTGCAGATAATTAAAATAACTTATTTAAGTGTGTTTATCTTTCTTTAATTCTTAGAAGTCATTCATTTTAAAAAACAAATTGTAACGCTGAAATTAATATCCTATGATTGATTAATATTTTATAATATAAAAATAATTACATTATACTAATTATATTACTAACAGCTTGTATTACTGAGGATATTGTAAAATATTATATCAAAATTTTTTGTACGCGTTTAGGATAATTTGAGAACATTTTGTGCTATTTGGATATATTTTTAGAAATTTCTTATTTTTATTAAGTAATTATAAAACTTTATTCTTTTAGCTGAACGATTTATATATTGACATTTTGTTGTAAATTTTAAATGTTTCTGAAGTATTTTATAAACAAATATATTAGATTTATTAAACAATATTCTTTTTTTATTAGCTTAATTGATATTCGGAGAATCCCTAAACTATTATACTGTGAACATTACATTAGTTGAAAATTATTTGTTTTGCCGTGATGCTGTACGCATGTACGAAGAAAGCGATCCTGTGTTGAAAACCATTCTGTGTGAACTCAATATTCGTACATCATTAGATAACTTTAAGGATATTTTTGCAAGTAAGTAATGAAAAAGTATTATAAACTCATTAGTCATTACTATTCAATGTTTTAAGAAAAGATCCGGCTAATTCCTTTCCTTATATTTCCTAATGTATATTAATACGTATCAATATAACCTCAAATGTTATTAATCATGAATGTTTATAGAGAGATATATTTCATATCTGAGAGACTGTAGATATACATTCTCAATAAGCGATTTATGTTTGCAGTGAAATCTGATTTGATACAATTGCATTCGTAGAAAAGATCGGAGCTACAATCGACTATTGTTATTCAAATAATACAAATTTGTAACAAGGAATGACTTGGAGATGTCCTCGGAACATCCTTAGGACGTAAAAACATCTTCTGGACATCTTTAGGATGTCCCTTGAAAGTTTATGTTGTCTAGAATTGTTGTTACACTTATTCTTAAATATAAAGATTACTGTTTACTTTATTTACAGTAAGAAACATATCATCTGTTGAAATTTCTATGTTAGTCACTGATTTCTAGCTCTCAGAGTTAAGTAGGGAGATTTCTGCATACTACGTAATGCATAACACATAAAGAAACAAACTAAGAATCTTTTTTTTCTATTGTGGAGATAGAAATAAAGGACTTTGTTTAGTTTGTTTTCTTATACGTTATGTATTATAAGATATGTAGAAATCTATGCTCTCTTCTTTAATTTGTCTATCATCAAAAGAGAGATTTTACTGCAAATTTCTATTTTAAACAAGTGTAACATGTCATTTGACTTACAGATATGGAGAGTGAAAAGGATTTACATGAACTTACAGTGCACATGTACACATTGGTAGAATTTATTGGTAGAATTAACAAGAGGTCGACGGCCTTTAATGAAAAAAATCGATATTGTTCCAACTTTTTGGGTGGACTACAATAACCAAACTAAGAAATTTATTACGAAATTTTTAAGTCCACCATATATATCTGAAAATGTAAATAAATTACATCATATGGTAAAAATTTGTGATTATCCATTACAAGAATGGCCTGTATATTCAGTGATTTTAAAAGGACGTGCTAGTAAGTGTATCTATTTTTATAATACTCTGTATATTTTTTACAAAGAGATACATTTATCATTTATTACAGAGACATATGAAGAAACATTAGATAAACTTGCACGTTTAGAAAAAGAACATGTATTTACATTGGATAATACTCTGATAATACTTCACCAGAAAAAGAAGTCGAAATTATCATAAAGCAAAATAAATTAAAAAATCAAGCTGAAGATCTGAAAAAGAAATTTGTAGTACATAAATTAGGTTCCACATCTTGTTCTCAGGACTTTGAAGGTAATTCATGTTATATTTCTTTTTATTTTACAGTATTTTTTTGCTTCTTTGCTTCAAATATTTAATCTATATTTTTCTATTTTATTTTATATTCGTTTTCCATAATATTATTAGAGATGGTAACGTCTGAAGAGGAATCGTCTGAAAATAAAGACACAATAATAAGAAAGAATTTGAAAAAAAAATATTTTATCTGCAACAAATCCACCTGAATCAGAAAACACCCAGAAAAAGCCGAGGCTATTGTTTGTTAATTCCTTAAAGAGAAAGAAATTAGAAAGGGCATCTACTTCAAAAAGTCCAGATAATTTTAAAATTTTTATAAAAGCAACGAGACAAAATATTTCCTTATAATTTTTTATTTATGTTTTATTTATGTTATTTATGTTTTTTTACGATAAATCCTAAAGTCTGTCTTAAAAGAAATAAAAAAAGGCATAGAGGTGCCTTCTAACATGAATACTTGCATGACGAACGACCAAGTTTTAAATAAAATTTCTGATGATATTCAAGAGCATGATGCACTCAATTATTCTACAGTTGTACAATATAACGAACAAAATCACGGTATGTTTATATATGGAGTTAAAATTTTGTATGAAAGATCTTGTCCATGTCATCGAGTTATTTCAGAAAGTGAGATGGCATTGTTTAAAGTTGAGCACAACAAAAGTAATTCACAGTCAAAGGAAACTTCATGTAAATCAATTAATAATCAACAAAAATAATTCACAGTCAAAGGAAACTTCATGTAAATCAATTAATATTTTACAAAATATAAGTAATTTAGGGAAGTTTACGTTGTATATATCTGAAAATAAAAGAATTTTGCTACTAATTAGATAAACTAAATTAAGTAAAGGATAGACAAGTTTTATATAGAAATGACTTAATTTCTAAATAAACCCTCAAAAGAAATTTTTGTTTTTCACTGTCAATAAAACACATGGATCTTTCTGTCAGCGCATTATTAAATAACATTGTTTTTGAAAAATTGTGAAAAAATTCATGGAAGTCAAAAATTTATTGAAGTATAAATTAAATGCTTAAACTATTGAATTACTTTTTGTCCACTGAGGAGTCATCGATCTAAGCACGCTGATCTTCAAGAAATCGTACATAATTGAAATCGTTTTGGCACAAATGTCTCATGAGTTCCTTTTGAGGGTTAATACTTTAACAAATTTATTTGTTCAAAATTATTACGCATATTATTTATAATAATTGAATAGTTTCATACATGTATAAAAGTAATAGCTCTAGTAAATAATAATTCCAGATTTCAAACATTATGACAGTTCGTCAAAAGAGAACTTCAAAAAAACTCCAGATATTATGCAGTCACATTTAAGTAAGATATGCGCATGTTTTTAAATGTTTCTTTAATCAATTAATGAAACATTGATTCAAATGTATTAGGTGCGCAACTAAGTTCTCGCTGTTTTTCAAGAGATGGCTCCAGTAGTAAGTGCTGGTCGATTGTGACATAACCAAAACGTCATGAACCAAGCTTAGACATATGGTAAACAAACCGCTTTGACACATTAGTGATTTTGTTTTTGCGTCATATACTTTTGGTTGTGTGAAAATGTCTGATTTTGTGCCAAATAATCGTCATTTGCGGGAAGTGTTGCTTTTCTTCTTTCATTCGAAGAAAATGGCGGCTGAAGCGCATCGAGAACTCCAAAAAGTTTACGGAGATGCTGCTCTAAGTGAAACAACGTGCCGTGATTGGTTCCGTCGCTTCAAAGACGGTGATTTCGATTGACCGTTCGCGTGAAGGAAGGCCAAAAACCTTCGAAGACGCTGAATTGGAAGCATTGCTCGGTGAGGATCCGTGCCAAACGCAAAAAGAGCTTGCTTCAGCATTAGGAGTTACCCGCCAAGCCATTTCCAAGCGATTGCATGCGTTGGGAATGATTCAAAAACAAGGAACTTAGGTTCCTTATGATTTGAAGCCAAGAGACGTTGAGCGTCGTTTTTTCGCCTGTGAACAACTGCTCCAGCGGCAAAAAAGGAAGGGTTTTCTTTATCGCATCGTTACGGGTGATGAAAAATGGATTCATTACAGCAACCCAAAGAGAACAAAATCATGGGGACTGCCCGGTCATGCTTCTACGTCGTCGGTTCGGCCGAATATTCACGCTGTGAAGGTTTTGCTGTGTATTTGGTGGGACCAGGGCGGTGTTATTTATTATGAGCTGTTGAAACCGAACGAAACCATCACTGGGGAACGGTATCGAACTCAATTGATGCGATTGAGCCGAGCACTGCGCGAAAAGCGGCCACAATACGAGCAGAGGCACGAAAAAGTGATTCTACAGCATGACAACGCTCGGCCTCACGTTGCCAAACCCGTTAAAACCTACTTAGAAACGCTCAAATGGGAAGTCCTACCCCACCCGCCATATTCCCCAGATATTGCGCCGTCCGATTATTACTTGTTCCGTTCGATGGCACATGGTCTGGCTAATCAGCAGTTCCGCTTATATGAAGACATCTCAAAATGGCTTGATTCGTGGATAGCCTCAAAAGACGAACACTTCTACCGTGACGGTATTCGAGCTCTGCCAGAAAGATGGGAAAAAGTTGTTGCTAGCGATGGGCAATATTTTGAATGATTCATTTGTAACCATTTTTTCACAATAAAGTTGCATTTTCATCAAAAAAACAGCGAGAACTTAGTTGCGCACCTAATATATATACATATTTTAAGTTTCTAGTTATACAAACATTAGCTACAGACGTAACAGGTATGAAATGCGATTTAACATTTATTAAACACCAAATAATTGAAATTAGCAAGAGGTTGATGGAAATAAAAGAAATTCCAATTTGTAACGCCTATACTTTTCTGGAAAATCATAGCATTTCTTTGCCACTTACCAATTTAGCAGAATTTATAAAATTTGTTGAAGGACTTAAAAATGATGATAAGCTACGAATGAATGTGGTAAACAGAATTTAAATATTTTTATTTTTAATAATTGTATATATTATTCCAATAAAAACTTTGTAATATTTAGAATGATTATATGTTTTAATTGTTTCTAGAATAGTATGCTCAGGATTTGTTTAGATAAAAATCAAGTTATTACTAAATCTTTAGTGAATATGTTAAAAAAATTTATCACGTCAGAAATTGCAATGCGATTCACAAGTTGCAAAAAAGTTAGTAATAAGTTTATTATGTGCAATATGGCTTTTTTTAATTGCATAAAAGGTAACAACGTTTTGAATATTTTGTTCTTTATATATTATAAAGTATATCTCATTCAATTTATATTAATTTGTTTATATCGACTATCCTTTTCACGTTACAGATGTGATACTACTTGACACAAGTACAGCAAATAAATCTATATCTGAGAAAGAGATTTTAAGTTCCTTAGGAAAAGTATTATCAAATGCTTGAGACTGGGATAGTGGAAGAAAACAATTTAAAAATATCACTACTGCGAGGTCACCTACTCCTTGTCAGGATTTAAATAGTACCCCTGAAAATATACCTGAAAGTAATGCCACTATGACAAAGACATTGTTCTTTATTAATGAAAATAACCAACTAGAATTTGTTTTCAGTCCTTAAAAGAAAATTGTAATGACTTGAATGATTTAAAAAAATCATAAATACTCATTTTCCTGCTTGTATTGTTTTGTCATATATTGCCTTATATTTTATTATATCTATATTCATATAAAAAAGTAGAGTTTTGAGTTAGATTTGTCTTTATACTTCTACACACAGAAGATTTTACGATAAAAATTATTGTACAATTTTGTAACTAAAAAATAAATCGACATTCTACAGTAATTCACTTTCTACAATAGCATCCTTTTATTTTATGTGTACTACTTTTATTGTGAATTTATTGTGAAAACTGAAATGTGTTAAAATTTATTTTCAGCGAAATTAACTATGTTCTCTAGCAAGATATATCTTATTGATAATCTATTTCTATATTATTAGAAACAGTAAAATAAAATGTTTTAAAGAAATATTTAAAGATTTTTGTGACACATACGCGCACATATGTATATATATATATATATATATATATATGTATATATATATATATATATACTATATATATACTACTATATATATACTACTAAAGATTAGGGCTAATGAAAGTCTTAGTATTGAGAACCTTACAATTCTAAGGTTAATGAAAGTCACAATACAGAAAATCTTTTTAATGTGTAATATATATTGCGCTAAATATAGCATTATACAGGGTGCACGATTTATCTGAAGACATTGAAATATCTCGAGAACTATGCATTGGATAAAAAAAGTGGTTAATGAAAGTTGTTAGTCTCGAAGGGGGACATCCAATGATACCAAACTCGACTTCCCATCCCACCCCCTGGGGGTGGGGGTTGGGGGCAACTTTGAAATCTTAAATGGAAACCCCCATTTTTTATTGCAGATACGGATTCTACGCCACAAAATACGTAAATTTTGTCCGAAACTTTTTTTTTGATTCGTGATAGATGGCGCTGTAATCGCAAAAAATTATATTTTCCGCAATTCTTCAGAAATGATCATTGGATTGAGAAATAAAAAATACCTGTTCAATATTTTTAAAGAACATAATAAAAGTTATTCCCCCCCATCCTCTCGGGGTAGGGTGGGTGATAACGTTCAAATCTCAAATGGGGACCCACATTTTTCATTGCAGAATTAGATTGTACGTGAAATTTTTATCGAAACAATTTTTTTCATTCGTGATAGCGTTGAATTTTTCCGAGAAACTACTTTTAGCGTTACACAGGAACAACGACGAGGACGTAGTAATTTTATGTTCCCTTCGGGTGCTTTTCTAATGTGAGTCCCCTTGTCTCTCACAGATCGGGGTGCTTTTTTAATGTGAGTCCCCTTGCCTCTCACTGTTCAATTAATTAGAGTAAGTGTTCGAAGTTTTTACCTTCAACTTCAATACACTTATTGATCCTTTTTTCAAATGACTGTACACAGGATAGAAGCATATCTGCGGGAGTTTCAGCGCAAGTTCGGTTCCCATTTGAGATTTGAACGTTACCACCCACCCTACCCCGAGAGGATGGGGGGGGGGAATAACTTTTATTGTGTTCTTTAAAAATATTGAACAGGTATTTTTTATTTCTCAATCCAATGATCATTTCTGGAGAATTACGGAAAATATAATTTTTGCGATTACAGCGCCATCTATCACGAATCAAAAAAAAAGTTTCAGACAAAATTTACATATTTTGTGGCGTAGAATCCGTATCTGCAATAAAAAATGGGGGTTTCCATTTAAGATTTCAAAGTTGCCCCCAACCCCTACCCCCAGGGGGTGGGGTGGGAGGTCGAGTTTAGTATCATTGG